AATACACGAAGTTGCGTACGCTTGCCTCTTTTTTTATTTCTTCAAAATTGACACCGACATTATTACGAATAAATTAAATATGTACAGAACTGTCATGATTTACTTTTTGAGGCTTAACGTAGCTTTTTAGTAACTTCCCCAGTTTAAATATTTTTTAACTTAAAACAATTTCATACATTTACTATATTCGTATTGTATGTCCTTTGCACGGAGTGCACCTCTCCGAGAAGCCTTCCGTGTAATATTCTGTCGTCACGAATCCCTGTCCAGAGTATCTTTGGGCCTTTTCGACGTACCAGGCGGTACGTCACGCGACCGGCACGCTCAAAATTGTTATGCGACCTGCCAAAAGAGACTTTTTTTACGAGCTGCGCGTCTGTTACGCACAATGATCGTCCGGGAACCACCGCCGTCGTCGTCCTATGGCTTTCAAAGGCTACGGCGGCGGCGGAGGAGGAGGGGGCTGGCGGTGGTAGCGGCGACGTTTCCGAGACGAAGGGACAAGCGGAGCGCAGGAAAACAGGGTGGGCGCGGGGCCCGCGGGGCCTGCGCATGCTCGTAAATCAACAGGAGGCGGGGAAAGGGGGACGCAGAGACCCGGGCGTCCCCTCACACAGGCGTGTACTTCAGCAATTCTCAACACCTGCAATTCGAAATTGTTGACAAGTCTTCTATACAATTCGGCAAGATGAGTTGTGTCTAAATGCATGGTGCTCTATTTCATGTCATCACAATTATCTACACATAAGACAATACAAAAACGCATTCCGGAATTACATATTCCGACGACCGACCGCTATTGAACTGACAACACATTAAGAAACAATTCCTTCTATTTTCATTTTATATAAATTGGGCTTCAAATTTAAAATCACTTTCAAACATTCAAAGTAAACAAAACTATGTTAAATTATGTAGAAAAAATAAATCCGTTTTTGGTTTTCACCTCCGGAGATATTGGTTTTTAAGGATCGATATTCGCTTTTCATAAATTATGTAGGCAATACTATAAAAAAAACAATATGAACAACTTACTCTTAAAGAATATGATCACTATTCACAGAAATGTTAATACAAGATAATTTAGTCTAATCTATATTGCTCCGAATTGCGCCTACTTTGGTTTAAAGTAATAATAGGAGAGTTCTCTGATCATGAAGGTTTCAGCGCATTAAAATGAAATTCCTCACTTTCTTACGGTATCTCAAACGCCCACGTCCAGCAATGGCATTTAAAGAGTAGATAAACTTACAACCTTATTAATTGGATTGTTGGTGAAGTAGATACCTTTTTTTTTATTTTGATAAATAGAGATATTGTCAGGCTCAATATTGATACCTGACAATATCTCTATTTATTTATCAAAAAAAAACTTACAACCTGTTTATGAAATCAGTAAGTACTATTATTAGAGATTGTCGTCTCTATTCGTGGACACAGATCATGCAAGTCGAAATACTGCTAGTAAACTTAACTGACTAAAAACTTTGGATTTTTGTCTAAAAGTAGAAGGCAAGGATCGTGTAATATTCAATAATGTTGAACTATAATACTTATGACTTCAGCTCCATAAAAAAAATTTACAAAACTTTAAACGGAAAAAAATAAGCAAAAAGTACTAATTTTCATTCAAATAATACAATATAATTACAATTTTCTAACAAAAAACGTGACCAGAAAACCATCTGCAAAGGCAATGGTACACTAAAATTCAATTAAGTACTCATTATCTTGTATACTCTCAAACAATTTTGGTCGACCGTAATCTGTTATTTTCTATTGTATGTTATGACCAGCACAAATTACCATAAACGTTCACATACTCCCACTTCAGCCTACGTCGCAAATGCATGCTAAAAGGCACATCACATTATATAATACAAACACCTCAAGAAATAAATGGAAAGATAAATGAATAAAAATAAAATTGGGGAAATGAAAATAAATAAAATATAACGATTAAAATATTCCTACATTTTAAATCACTTTCCAGAATGCGTACAATTAGTCAGCGACATACAAGATGTATACATAAAAACATCGGAATCACCCAGGTTATGACTTTCTCCGGACATCTACCGGCAAGAATATGCATAAAACATTATGAATAACACATTTTTACACGTCATAAATTGAATGACAATCGAATAATAGCTTTAGTTTTGTCAATTGGACTTCAAATCTGAATTCTCATTTCTTATACTGTACATAGCATAACGAAAATTAATCGCCTTCTATTGTGAGACATTTGTTTACGACCACACCGGCTATTCATTTTCCGAGAGCAGCATAATCACTGGTTATTATACAAAAGAATCGAGGCAACCGGTATTATTCCACTCTTACAAATAGTGAAATCAGGGGTACTGAATTTTCATCATCCAAAACCTTCGTTGTGTAGGCCAAACTTGCTACCTTTGAAATGCGATGTCAGAATCAGATTATAAAAATTTATCTAGTCCAGAAGATTCACCCCCCCCCTCATCCGTACGATGAAATCTCACCACAATTCTGAGATCTACTCTATTGCAATCGGTGTTCTAGAAAAAAGATCATAGCCCTGTGAAAATGTTTCCGAATTTCGCCGAGACTTTCAGCATTTGATCCATTAACTTAGCTCGTCAGCTCCAGCAAGCTTTTCAATAGATAAGCACTCCTGTAATCTACCAACGCGACGACACACACACATTCATGCTTTCCTCAATACGCCCACCACAAAAACATCTGAACAATCTTTCTCGAACCCTCGAGAATCCAATCCGGCACAACCCGCACGGCTTCCAGGCTCCAGAGGCGCCCTGAGGATCTAGGCAAGCGCGCGGGCGTGCCTCGCCCCTCTGAATCACCCGGGCGAGGCCACGTGGCCGGAAAATACCCGTCACTAGCACGTGAACGAGCTGGAACTGGCACTCGCGTCCCAAGGCGGCGGCGACGACGACGACGCGGAGAGGCAGGCGCGCGGAGGCTGCGGTGCCGCGGGGGAGGAGCCACCAACGCGCGGAAGCGTAGGCGGGGGGGCAGAGGGCGGGGGACAGGCAACCCGCGGCCCGTTGCGCAAGAGCGGAGGAAGGGCGTCCGGAAGAACGTGATGCAACCCCAGGGGAAGTGGCATCACGCGGCACTCGCCGGAGGGAAAGAGGGGGGGAGCTAAAAATAGATGAAAGCGACCGGCAGAATATTCGGTGAAAGCTTTCCTGTGGGTGAATTATTTATGAAATCAAACGTTTCAATTTCGTAAGTGGTAAGTTATCGAATCCATAAACACAACAGCAGTATTCTGGATTTCTCTAATCCATCACAATGCAATAATAATAATAATAATAATAATAATAATAATAATAATAATAATAATAATAATAACAAGAAGAAGAAGAAGCCGGCCCCGTGGCGCGGACGGGTTGCAGCAGGTTCGAGTCCTGCGTAGGCATGGTCGTGTTTGTGATTGTCCCTTCACCCATCATCATCCTCCTATAACCACAATTCATAATTCAAGGTAAAACTATCTTGTCTTAACCAAGGGATGCAGCCGAAAAGCTGATTCCCATAATGACACACTTTGATCTCTCCCCAGGATAGAATACAATGGGCCTCGGAAGTGAACGTGAAGCGTGGACAGTAATGGCCAATACGCTAGTAATAATAATAATAATAATAATAATAATAATAATAATAATAATAATTCTCTAAACAGAAAAAGATTTTTAACATAGATGTTGTTTATTTGTAACACATTTCCTTTATCAGGAGGATTACAGATGCGTTCTAATGCTAAAATTAATATTTTCAACAACAATTTTTTAAAAAATCCCAAGCAAATCTTCAGTAAAATCCAAATTCCCATAACAAATTATTTTCATCCTATGCGCGCTGATTACAAGCTACTTCAAACCTTTATCAGTTACCTTATATGGGCTATCGTAATAATCGATTGGGAATCTGACGTTTGTTTTTGTCCCGCGCAAGGTGACCGTAGTGTCAACAAGTTATCGATTCTTCACTTTTCTACGCGGCATTTGTCTCCTGTAATGCGAAGCAAATTTCGAACGTTATGACACGCGAGCCGCCCTCTTGCATTCCTCATATAGTGTTTACAGCGCTGTCTTAGGCCAGCGCATAACTGAAGCGGCGACTTACGGAAAGTGCTCTGCTATTCAAGTTTTTCGCAGGCGCAATTCGCAATTAGGGTAATGCAGGTGGAAGAACGATGAAGCATTACGTACGAACAAGAACGGTTTTCGACTAGGAACTTTCCGGAGCAACGTAAATACGATAATGATGGTATTGTAACAACCCTTTTCCGTCACCAATGAGGTAAATAATGGCACGGAGGAAACTCGCGCCACTCGTCGTTTTAAAAGAAAACTAAACAGTTCAACAGCACTTGACCTTCGCCGCGCAGTCGCTGCGGTCACGTGACATTCCCGCCCTCGGGGTACTGGACGCCGTACTACGCAGCAGTGCTCCGCTGTTTTGCCCCTGTGCGGCTACAAACAAAAGGAACAGTTACCGCTACCACACAACCAGAATGTACACGCCCCCGGCCTAAACAAATTATATCTGAAGTTTCCTAATATGTTTTAATCCATCACACGAAACTACAATATTTTTAATTAAAGCCCTGCTTGGCCCCCACAACGCAAATGTGACGTGACTAGTAATAAGCCCAACAATTGTCAAACCACTCATTCAACAGTATCATTTTATGTAAGCAATGATATATCTTGTGAAATAGTTTGGGAAATAGAATTGTATGTAACTGTACGTAACGACAGAATCGTAATGATAAGTTCAGAAAAAAGACGTTTACTTTTTTCGAAGTTCTAACGATTCTCGTCAATGATCGATCCGGTCTTGACAGTGAAATACGATCTCATTAATGTCAAAAGGCTTTTGACATAAATGCGAAATGAATCATTTCCACGTCAAATTTCCATTATCTGCCTTGAACGGCGGATCTCATACATTCTAGATCTTTACGTCCCTCTAATCGACTTATTACATCATCGAGCCTTGTATGTTCCTCCCAATGATGGAGATATCTGAACACATGAAAATGAATTTAATTTTTCTCAAATATACACAGCAGTATATGAACGTATACAAGAAATATTCAACGCACAAAATGTTACATTATGCAATTGACGCTTTGAATACGGAGTAGGGCGCATCGAGTGCTAGCAGGCTACCATCGAGTACTACAAAGGATAAAGAAATGTAAAAAAAAATGCCCGTTGGCTGGTATGTTCAATTTACCCCGACGAAAATTTCATAACATTAACAACTGCGCAACATATCGAACTCTGGTTGGTCGTTTTTAGAGATAAAGAGAGAGAGAGAAACTAGTGGTGCTATTCGTTAATTGATAAGTTTCGAAAATACAGAGTACATCCAAAATTGACATCCCCATATTATGTTCATGCTCTATGAGTTCTATGCTCTATTTAAAAAAATAAATGAAATTGAAAGCTTATTCTTTTTACAAAAAGAATTGTTACTAAATCAAACAATATATTGAAAATACACTTTTTTGCAAGATCTTATATGAAGATATAGTTCTTTTTAGAACGTTAAGGAAAATTGTATTATAAATATTATGTCTTTTTTTATTTTCGAAAATACAGATCATTGAAAACACGCTCTTTTTATTAACAGTCTTTTTTATATTCGAGAACAAAATTGCAGCCGTTTTTGAGAAAACTCGATTTAAAATTGTTAATTACCTTACGAAACTGAGCCTTTGAACAACTGAAAACTTCTATCACTTCGGACAGAAAGATTTTGCCGTAATCCAAATTTCGGTATAAAGAACCCACAAAACGTGGATTCTGACTGCACAACGCATTAGCGGTAAGTAATTTAGTTTATACACGAACAAGACTTATCCACTTTACTGATGAAAGAGATCCACAGTACGAGTTTTTTTTACGAAAAAACACCGCTTTCCTTTGCAGCATTACAACACTTTCTCGTTACAACTTAGTACGAAGTAGGCGAGAAAGAAAAAAAGAACATATACGTGCCGAAAAAAAAAGAATTTGGAAAATATAGTAACAAATTCCCAACAAATAAATAAAACTGTGCAACTCCAAATCAAAACAAACGCGCCGAGCTGCGACCTCTTCAACCCAAATCCGGAAACTTTCCCTCTTTCCCCTCTCTCCCTCACGGGCACAAGACTTCCTTCCTCCGCGGGCGTTGTGTCGCCGCGCCGGTCGCGATTTCCGGCCGGGCGGGGAGCTCGGCCGGCGCATTTGGCTGCACCCGTCCCGTCGCGCGCGCCTGGCGGCGCCATCGCAACGGCCACGAGCGCCCAAGCGCAACGCGCCGCCGGCTCGGTAACATGAGAAGTGTGCCTCAAAATGTCCATCCGCGTTAGGGTGATCATGTGTGGGGACTTGGCAGATCGGCCGGGGCGCCAGAAATAGGTGTTTGGGGCGTCGTCTGGTTATATATATCTCCGCGGGCGCCAGACTGCTAGATCGCCTTCGCCCCCCTCCCCCCTTTCTGCTCCCC